TTGACTGCTAACCAGAAGGCTGGCAGTTCAAACCCACCAGCCACTCCTCGGAAGGAAGGTTGGGCAGTCTACTTCTGTAGTGATACTGCCTTGGAAACCCAAGGAGGAGTCGCTGTGATTCGGATTTGACTCGACAGCAGGGCATTTGGTTTTTTGGTAACTTCGTGGAAGGATTCTGGTGGTACAGTGGTTAAGTACTTGAGTGATAATCTAAAGGCTGGCAATTTGAACCCAACCCAACTCTTTGGGAGAAGTGTGGCAGTCTGCTTCCATAAAGATTACAACGTTGGAAACCTTATGGGGCAGTTGTACTCTGTCTTATAGGGTCACTATGAGTTGAAATTGACTTTATGGCAATGGATTTGATTTTTTGGTTTTAATTTAAGGGATTTGAAATGTATATGGGTTAAAACTAGATTGAAAATAGTGGTTGTTTAGAGGTGGTATCTTTGAGCATCTGTGATTTTTTAGTTCAATTAACTATATAAATGGACACGTATGCATCACCTACCAGTACCAGTTGCTGTCAAGTAGATTCTGACTCAGGGTAACCCAGTGTGTTACAGAGTAAACTGCTCCATAGAGTTTTCTTGGCTATAGTCTTTATGGAGGCAGATTGCCAGGTCTTTCTTCTGTGATGCTTCTAGGTGGGATCAAACTGCTGACTTTTAGGTTAGTAATTGAGTGCAAACTGTTTGTACTACCCAAAGGACCTGTGTACATCACAGTTGCTACTAAAAACTGAGAGTATATGAGATACTCAGAACTGGGTTAATTTAATCAAAATCAAAATCTGCTTTGTGGGTCAGGGCAGTTTCCAGTAAGTGATGGACTCCTGTTTGTTAGAATAATAGTATTGGAGACAGAGTGGGGTGTAATCATTTCTTTCACCCAATCACAAAAGCAGCTTCTTCTAGGATATAGAAGGGACGTAAACTTACCATACATATATTTTAAGTATAAAATATTTAAGCCAGTCAGAATCATCATGTGTTCTCCTAAAATAAAAGGGAATTAGAAGCAAAATATCTTGAAAAGATCCCTGATTTAGGTGTCAGATGGCTGAATTCTGGTCCCAGCTTAGATGCCAACAAGATTAGTGATCTAAGACTACATGTTTCCTGATTCTTAGTCTTCTCACTTTAAAAATTCTGTTGAAGTATGTGATATTTAAAATCTATTCCAGTTGTAACATTAATTATGTTGTTGTTGTTAAGTGCCGTCGAGTCGTTTCCGACTCATACCAACCCCATGCACAGCAGAATGAAACACTGCCCGATCCCGCGCCAGCCCCACAATCCCTGCTATACTTGAGCCCATCATTGCAGCCACCGTATCAATCCATCTCCTTGAAGGCCTCCCCC